TCGAGTTGGGCAGTCAAGACTGGGGCCTGTGAAGGGGCAGCTGTGGCTGCTGTTGCCATGTGTCCTCCCTTCCCCCCAACCTTTTCATCATGCCTTCTCCAAACCCATGTGTTCAGAGCTTTGCAGGACATCCCTTGCTTTTTTGCTCTTCTCCCCATGTGTCCCCACCTGCCTGATCTCTACCCATCCAAGGACCCCCTCTTCCCACTGCAAGAGCGCCTAAGGAAGGTTGCTGTAAGATGAAGACTGTTTTATTCCAGCTTTTTCTCCCTCAAATGCAAGCTCCAGAAACAAGAGAGGCCCCAGGAGCATGTGGGAGTGAGTGTGTGTGTGTGCCTGCCTGGAAGGGGACTACCCTGCACTCTAGAGTTGCTGATTTAATGCTTGTATAACTAAATAAGAAACATAAACAGAAGTTCTCCAGTGAGTGCCTTGGCGGTGGCCTTCATTTGGTTCCAGACAAGTAGCTTAATGACTGCTCCTGCTAAGCACAGCTTCAGCCTGTTGCCCTGGGTGTGGATGCTGCCTGCATGTGTCCTCAGGGAAGGCTGTAGTTAGTGGGTGAAGGTTAATTGTCTTCTGCTCTCGCAGCTGACTGCAAGTAGCTGACATTTTGATTCCTGAACAATGCCGCAGTCATTAGCCTGTTTTGCATTCCCCTTTCTCTTCTAGTTTTGTTTTCTATTGTTGGTTGGCTGTTTGCTTTCTCAACCAGACCTATTATTTTTTTTTCTCTGTGTGTTTTCCTTGCAGGGGATCCCTGGAGTTCCTGGGAAGAGGGGCAAGATGGGTAGGCCGGTAAAGTTTTTCCTCGTCTATTATGCAGACCTTGTTGAATGAAACTGGAAACAAAACATCTGACTTTTGGCTGGGTCCCTTCCTATCTTCTGATAGGAACTAAACGGGGAGATCGAACAAACCTTTCCATGTCTCTTTTCTCAAGCAGGAAGAAAACTGAAGATACAAATACTGTTCTCATCCTTTCTTCCATGCTCTGCCCACTTCACAAGCATTTTTGTTCTTTTTCACACTGTCTCCATGCTCCCTCGGATCTTACACTTCTCAGATTCTCTTCTGCAACCCCTTCCCCTCTGGCCAGCCTCTTCCCTGAATGTACTTTTTAATTCCCCATCATGATTGCAGCTTCCCAGGTGTCTGTGCTCACTCTGTTACATCTACTGCTCTGTGCTCCCACCAGTCTCATCATATTTGCCTCTTTTCACTGTGATTCTCTCCAACCCTTGTACCATCCTGGTTTGTATAATGCAAGTGCACTTTTGTATGGAAAGCTTTTTGTCCTTGGTGGTGGTACAGAGTTAAGGCAGTAACAGATCAGATGAAGACATGTTTGAGGAGCAAGGAGACCATGTAGATTTGAGAGCTTGGCCAGGAGGAAGAAGTGTTTGCAGGTAGGGCTGAATACAAGGTGAAAACTGTGAGAGCTGCATAGGAGAAGGGGGTCTGTGCTGACTTAAGCAAAAAGCAAAATAAAAGCAGGTGGGAGAAGTACTAAAATGAGTAGAGGAAACAGAGAACAGACAGAAAGGAAAGCCTTTCCCTCATCAGCCTTCTTCCAAGCAACTCTGCATGCTTCCTTTAGCAAAATGTATAAAATTTTGCTCCAAGAGTCCGCAGAGAGATCAGGCACGTTCATGCTCTGGTGTGTCTCATTGCCTTTGCACCTTGTCCTTCATGTTAGCCTGAGTTTCTCTCGATCTCCTGACATCATTGTACTCACAGGCTCCTTGTAAAATGTCCACTCACCCACACACGGAAAAATCCACTGCTTTCCCCTTGTCACCCTTGCATGCGAATGCATGCTTTTCAGGAGTCCCACGCCTACCGCTTGCTGGTGTTCTCACAGTAAAAACCGTGCAAACATCCTGACAGGGCCACATTCATCTCAGCTGGCTGTTCGTCTTTCTCTGGGATGGGGGGAGGTCGAGCAGACTTTTTTTTTGGGGCGGGGGGGAGAGGGTAGTGGAAATCTGTACCAGCTTTTAACAGTTTTGTAAGCGCTGGTCTCTGTGATGAATAATTGTAGAGAGCCAGTCGATGTAATGATGACTCATTGACCAGATTAAAACAAACAAAGCAACTGTCGTTAGGTACAGGGTTTCTGCTCTCTGCC